CCACAGAAACCTCGGAAAGGATTATGGCAGATGTCCATGAATACATAATGGAAAAGCAGCGGAGGTCCAGAGAGGGGTTCCTAATCACACCACACATAGTACCGGGGAAGCCTAAAATCCCGTACCATGCTTTTAAAAACTATGTGGAGACCGAAGACATCGATGGCTACTTGCATGACTTTGAGAGGTTATGCCAATTACATGAGATCAACGCCGCCGACCAGGTACCCCTGTTGGTGGGTAAGCTAGCGGGCCGGGCAGCAGAAGCCTACCGCACCATGCCAGACGAGGATAGCAGAGACTACCAGAAAGTAAAGCAGGCAATCCTGGACAGGTATGCAATTTCCCCGGAGGCATACCGGCAGCGGTTCCGAGAAAGCCGAAAGACGGAGAAAGATACTCACATGGAGTGGGCACACCGCTTAACTAGGGCGGGCAAAGGTTGGGTGCAAGCCGCACAAGCAACCAGAGTGGAGGACATGCTACAATTACTGCTACTGGAGCAATTCTTGCAGGGGTTAAACCCGATTTACAAAACTGGCTGAGGGATCGGAAACCGCGCATCTTAACTGACGCCGCCAGGTGGGCAGACGAGTACCAAGATGCCAGGAGGGCACAGCGGGCACAGGCACTAACCCACCTCCCACCATTAACCCCACCCCAGCACAGCATCCGGGTGGTGGGGTGGGGTACAACAATGCCCGATCTTTCATCAGGTGCCACACGTGTAACCAGCAGGGCCACATGCAGAGAGACTGTCACAGAAACCGCTCCACATGGAATACTCCAACTAATTCCCCTGCAAACCGGGCACCAGTACACTGCTACCAGAGTGAGCCTCGACAACCTTTCTTCGGGACCCGGTCTAATGAAGAATCTTTGGGCACCCTCCACGAGGTTAACCCAGTACAAGCAGCTGCAGACAACCGACAGGGACACCGCCAAGGGGTACACGTAGAGGGAAAACGCCTTCAGGGTCTGCGCGATTCTGGGGCCACCATAACCCTGGTTCGCAATCACCTAGTCCCCAAGCACCAGCTCACTGGAGAATATGTAGCAGTCCGGGTGGCAGGGGGAGCAATTATCAAAATTCCCACTGCTAAAGTACATTTGGATTGGGGAGCGGGGAATGTGGAAGTGGGCCTCATGCAGGACTTACCAGCTGATGTCATCCTGGGTAACGACTTGGGGGAGCTGACCTAAGCTTTTGTTTCTCAGCACACCGCGCAGGAAGCACTACCCGTGGTAACACAGCAGCAGGCCCGCACCACCGCATCTTCTGAACACTCTGAGGCTCCGGTAAGTAACAGTACTGACCCACCTTTCGTCCCCTGGGCTCCCCCTTAGAATTTGGTACTGAAGTAGTCACCGACCCGTCCCTGCAGGTATACCGGGATAGGGTTACACAGAATCAAGCAGGGTTGGAGGGGGAAAGATACGCTTGGGAGAAAGGATTATTGTATAGCTATGCTGAGAAGGTAGTAGCAGGATCTGTACCCATGACCCTCACACAATTAGTCGTGCCCCGAAAGTACAGGCAAGAATTACTA